TATAATTAGTTGACAACAATGGACAACAATAGTTTGGTCATGAAATCAACGATTATTCTCATGAATTGCGGGTGTTGGAACGTAAAAACAAAAATTGCCAGGAGAGAATGGGAAAAATCTCCGCGCAACATCTCTGCGCACAACAAAAATGGCCGACTAGTCTCGAGGCTTCGGCGTTCGTCTCATGATTTTATCCGAAATCAAAGGTAAAATCATTAAAATAATACTTAAAAAAGCTGTAATTAGTTTATAATAATGGAGAACAATAATCTGATCATCAAATCAACGATTATTTCGATGAATTGCGGGTTTTAAAACGTAAAAACAGAAATACACATGAGAAAACAATAAAAACGTCTGCGCAGATTTAAAGTGGCTGCCCTGATGTTCCTTGGCGATGACCGCGGTATTGTCGAAGAAATTACTCGTAAAATCGCCGAAAGTAATTGACAATCTGATAATAAAGTAATTAATAATAATAATGGACAATCACAATGGTACAAGGCAATGGTTGCATAGTTCGATAAATTACGAAACTTAAACCGACATGAACGTCTCGAATGGTGAAAAACTGGAATCTCCATGTGACCGACGTATTTATGACACCACGAGATGACGCCTGGAGGCAATTCTGGACGAAACCAGTGTTTGGGGACAGTTTTGATAGATTCAATGATCCTTTAAAAAATTCAAAATGTGATAAACCTAGTTGATGAGTGAAACCAGTGGACACAGGAATTTATTAGAAAGTTAGTGTTGTGAATTGTGATGATGTTTTCTTTTGTTAATCAAGTGATAGAGTGCTCTCGGGAATTTCTTNAGTTAGTGTTGTGAATTGTGATGATGTTTTCTTTTGTTAATCAAGTGATAGAGTGCTCTCGGGAATTTCTTCGTCGATGTCTGTATAAATACGTAAGATGGCAGTTTCAGTGATGTTAGTGCGGTTTTTAATTTCGAAAGTGTTTAGTGCAAGTGATTTTCATGGGGACGAGCTTCTGGAGGCATTGGAGAGCATATCGACGTCTAGATGAGGATTTCAACGCCCGGTGAGTCAATAAAATTTACAATTGAAAGTTGACATTTTTCAACCGTGAATATCTCGAGAATGACTGGCGCGATTTCAACAAATTTTATTCCATTTTATGAAAGCACTGAAATGATTCTATTTTTTAATGTTCGAATTTTGCTTGGAAATGATGTAAAATGATCTAAAATGTAAAAATCCAAAGTTTTACGGCCATGCGTGTATGAGCGACTGTCCACCTCTGATATTCAATTCTGAGCCGTCCATCTGCCTTTAGGGAACCCAAATTTCCTCAGG